GTTAAGAGACTTTACCTTTTGCTGCAACCTGCTATATCTAATTAAAATTAACACTAAATGTGTTAGCAAATCAGACGTGAAACTCAGATATCTGTTTCTTCAATGTTACGGGCAAATGTGCGGCGGAAGTAGATGCCGCCAACCGGAAGTGACCACGCGTCCCGTCTAAGCTCTTGCATAAGTGATATTTCCCTTTGCACATCTCGTTGACGATGCTTTTTGCGAGTTCCCTGTTTCGAGTCTCACGCAGGTCTTGCTTTTTGCATTCGTTTTTGGTTTCTCTGTTCTGACGGAACGAATTCGTTAACCTCTACTGACCATCAAGAGCAGCAGCAGCAGTAGCAAAAGCGGCAATATCAGGTGTGTAGGAACAAGAAACGAGACAGACACGCATAATCGGTCTACAATTCCTTTTTTTACATTTGAGAATATGACAGCCGTGTTTAATCCGAATGATGGAGCCTAGCAAAAGTAGGCGCGATCAGGTTCTTCATGGGTTTTCAGGGCAGAAGAGGGGCTATAGTTAGTAGCACTTCCCTAAGGACGACCTCGTATGTGAGCGAGGACAAGAGGTGAGCATGAGCTATTCGATCAATTGAAGGCAATCAATAGCGTTCGCGTTGGTTCGTGAACGAGCCTCATGGTTTATTCTGTTCGAATGATAGCAAACGATACCGAGTCCTCGTATTTGGTTCTAGGTAGCCGTAACACTTGCTCAAGCAGGCTCGTTACAGGTAGACATTGTTACTATAGCATGTGGGAATTGAGGTAAGGAAATAACAAGGCATTGAACCCTGCAGGTGTTCTGACTTTGAGAGGTGTTTGCGTATATGTGAGTCGACATGCTACCGTGCAATACAAAAGCACGTTACTGTGCCTTTTGTGACGTGATGGTTCTAAAAATTCACTACATTAGTACGGTGTGTCATGTTGTTCTAAACCGCGTAACATATCGGTTTAGACGTGGAATATGTAGTAGTGGTTAACGGCAAGGAACAACTACACAATTATTGTTCCCCTTCCTCTGGGAGCTCAAAAAAATGACGCAATAACATGACTAGCTTTTTGAGAAGTCAAGTCACAGTTTACGAGTATCCCCATGAAGCATTCGAGAGTAGAAGCCACGATTTTTACGGACACATAATCTACAATGATATGATATAACGACACCTAAAGTAGGCGCTCATTTCAAAAGGCGGTGTTTCGATCGACGATCATTATGAGCCATTCGCTAACTATATGTAATATACAGTTGATTTTGGTCAAACACAGCAGACTCTGATTAAAAAAGTCGACTATTCAAATTAAGAAGATTGAATTTAACTATTACCTGGACAGATGGCGATAGGATGATAGACACCGCTATTGTAACTCTTCTCATTGACGACGCGGTTACTCTGCTAACATATCATGCCTGTGTCAATAACAATAGTAACACAACTTTCACCGGACCAATGCTACTAAAAAACAAAGATGAGGGCCATGGAAGTTTTCGTAATGATACGGGGTCACCGTAAAGTTGGTTTTGATTTTTTTCTCGAAAAACTGCTTTTCGCGTTCACGCTACAATGGTAAGGTTTTTTTTCTCTCGCACAAAAGAAATACGATTCCCTGGTTGGTGCTTGTCGCTTTGCTAAACGGTGCCAGCAAGCTTTACCTTTCCAACCAGACTATGGCCATCACTTTCTACTAGTGGCTCTGCCGAGAAACAATTCTTCCCTCACTGACCCATTTTGAACTCAAGAAGCTGCGGTTATAAGACCTTCATTCTATTGCCTGTCGGTTAAAAAGCTGAATTTGAGAAACGTGTGGAACAATGAAGTCTTCGAGAAGTAGAGGAAAACTGGTTTAGTCCAGCTGACAATGTGTGCGGTCGAAGGGATATTAGGTAGTGCAATAATCGGGCACGCTATATTCGTAGGCAAAGTGTATTATTCAATTTTGTTTATATTTTTGTCTATAAAACCTGGCCCTAAATATCTAGTCACACGATGGAATAGGGTGTGCTTAAAGAATCTGATCTTTTTAAGGGTTAAGGTGGCATCCTGGCCTGGAAAAGTCGGACGGTACTTGAGTTCATAGATGCAAACGGTCAAGCAATGCAGGTTCGAATTTCGCACAGCGAGGTGTACTTTTTGATAAAAGCGTACTTAAACAGATACCTATTTATATTCTATATTTGCTACTATTCCAATCTGCAGGCTACATTTCCATAAATGAGGTATACATAGCTAATGACAAACAAGGCTTATAATTATGGCGTACCAGGTATCTAGCATAGGATGTGATGAAGAATAGAATTGCCAATATGGCTATTAGTCTGTACCTATTGAATATCTAGTTCGATAGACTTATTCGAAAAACTTGCCCATAAAACCAGCGCCTAGCGTCTACCGAAAATTGCTTCGCTCGCAAAGGGGCTCTTCAATTTTGGGCCCAGCTTCTTTGAGTTACTAGGACATAAGAGCTATAAAATCGGACATCGATCGATACGCCGGCAGTGTTATCCTTTAGGTGTTGCAACATCACTCTAGACGATGCAATGAGTCAATGTGAAAAATGTGACAGTGTCTTGAGTCCCGCACGTCCTAAACGAAGGCCTACATTTCACTTTGCCTGAGACGAAACATATGCCTGCAAAGCATCGTTACCGTGTAATAACTGCATGAAACTTTGAAAGGATCAGCAGTCTGTTATGTATAAATTATTGGAGGAATCACATATACTGTTTTGTCCGAATTTCTAGATTTAGCCATTCACACAGAGCAGACGCTAGTTTAAAATCCGCCACGATGGAATCTGTGGCTCACAGCAGGTGGCACAAGGTGTAAAAGACCGCGGAAGCAAAGCCGGCTGTTACGCGAAGCCTAAGTAGGCTCCTTTTGATAAGTACAATGTCAGGCGCTGCAAGCCGTAGCGGGATACGGCTCCTTAAACTAAGGTAGTCTGTCAAACTTTTGGATTGTAATAAATGGCTTCATATAGTATAATTGTACTCGACTCACCTCACTGTTTATTATTATAAAAAAAAATATATAGATGTTATATAAATTTATTTTAAAAAATATTTTCTTGCAATCGTAGTGCGGCTCTAGCGTTTAGCGAATAACAATGCCTGATAAAATTTATTTATGCGACTTCTTGCACCAATAGAGAATTTTTGGAAATACAGTGTAAAAGCATATTTACATGTATATGGTGCATTATTATATGACTATGTTGTATATATTGTATCCCTCGGGGGGTCAAAGAGGTATTGAAACAAGTACCGATGTACGATCAGGGACTAGCTTTTTGTTTTGAATTCAGTGGACAGTACTACAATTAGGAAACCTTGGCTAGACCCCCCACGCTAGCGCAGGAAGTTGGCAGAAGTTTCGTCGGTGTCTTGAAAATTTAAGAGGTTGATTTCTTAATAGTTGCTGATGTTCAATATAAATCAATTACCGTTTCGTGTATGGGAAAACAAAATTTGTTTTAAGCAAATTTATAGAACGACCAAGACGTTTTCTTGCTTCTATCCGTTAAATCCAAGCTCACGAAAGAGAGCTTAGGCCCCCTTTGCATCTATCTAAAGGACACCCGCTGACCGTGCACTATGCCTTACGCTCAATCGAACATCACCCTGAAAACTGGTCTTCCTACGACTGGTAAGCTGCTCTGAGCGTAAGCTACCTACAAGTGGCGTCTTATGACATCAGATATTTCGAGTTTTCAGAGGGGTATTACTTTGACTGCAGTGGCTCTAACGGCCTATTATGCAATGTCAAAATGTAAAGACGTATACTGGACGAGATCTGAACTTACGAATCCCCTATTAGAGATCAGAAATGGCTTGAACGAGCAAAACAGGCTAGACAGACGGATCCTAGGCCAATCAAGCCCTCTCAAATTTTCTTTGGCCTGCAACAGCGCTTCAAAGTACTCGTTGCGTATTCATCATATAGTTGAACAATTTGTTGTATTTTGGCCATCGTACAGCCATCGGGACGCTAAAAATATCCTCATAATTCTAGTAATTTAAGAGAACTTGCCGAATATAGCTAAGCGCCAACTAAATGTAGCTCCTTAGTAAACTATGACTTAACTTGACATTTCTGCGGTAAAACACAAATTGTTTCATTTATTTGTCGTCACCAGAGGTGATATCTGAGGCAATTCTGATGAAACACTCAAAATATTTTTGAAATAGACACTTTGTCTATCTGCGAAACTCAAATGTTAGAAAAAAAACACCGGTACGAATCGGATTGATATTGCGTATGAACCAAAACACCGTCTGGTAGCGGGTTGCGCTTGTCGACAAACAATAAGCCTGACCTGATACTCTTTAACCCAAACAGGCATGGCGGTTAATAGTAGTGGTTGGAAGCACTTTGCGTAGTAGTATCATTTCATTAAGGAAAAGGGTGTAGCTATCGCAATATCAGTCATTAAGTAGGACTATGGTTTATATTTTATAGATTACTACGAGAGATGCAGACAAACATAGGCAACTTCTGTCGCCAGTATTAGGCCATCCTATCGGATACATAATCGACGAAAACGTTTAATTACACTGTCTATAGTGTAGACAATAGATGAATGTCATTTTATAAGCATCAGACATTTTGTTTTATCTATTTTTCTCTTCTATATTACATGAGAAATAATTTACCGATTTTTTTTAAATAAAAAAAATATAACATTTTAAAGATCAAATGAATGGACCATTTTTATTAACCCTTACGGTTTAGTTGAGTGCATTACTTTTGTTCGATTATCGTTTCAATATCATTATTTTCACATTTCTGAATATATATTCATTTGGTCCTATACATTAAACACACAACCGTCGAAAGATAGAATATAATCTATCGAGACTGCATTAATATTATCTGGATAACTAATACATTTCTTTTTCTCTAAAGGGTTTGAGTAGTGATGCTCACACATGATCGGACCCAATAGACCGGGGTCTATTTAGCGTGGGCCAATGAGTACAACGTCGAACTCTGACAGTTCGACGTTGTTCTCCGACAAGATCGTCACGCTTAATTTTCAACTCCAATTTTATACATCAGGTCTGTTAATAGTATTACGACTAAAACTTTTCGTTACTAACTAATCTTTGACGAGTTTTTTCATATAAATAATAAACGAAACTTCCCATTGATCAAGGTGCCTTTGTTAGGCAAAACCACTGCCTAGGTAAATTAATTATGCCAAACCGTGTTAGCCATTGCAGTAACACGGCTTTGAAATATGCGGGTACCGACATGAAAACGAGATCTAGCTTAAGACCAAAAATAATATATATGTAAACTATCTAGAACAAGGAGCATATAAACTTGTGATTCTCGCGGAAGCGAGCAGCCTTGTCTGACAACATGAAATTTGTTGTAGGAGTTCTCCTTTTCTCTGTGGCCTCATCTGGCTTATGCGACTATGAGCCTGATCGTTCGATCAGGTCAATCTTGCATAACTGGATGCGCGTCGGCCACGATTTGATGTCCTTCGAAAGTAAGTAACGGGCCAACTGAAAAGACTAACACTCACGTACATTTCTGAAGCTAGCAGGCAGGCTTGGACCTTTGCACTTTTGTTTACGCAAGCGATGATGCATCCGTTTCCCGAGTATCTCTAAAACGGTCGTTTAACCTAAAAGGTCGTAACGATAATTCTGTTACTCGATTTATTATTTCTAATTGAATCTATTTCTAACTGATGAGCCCGAACAGTTTTACAATTTTCTTCAAGTTAAGTATTTGCAGTCTATACTTATCTTTATTTATAAAGTTAATTAGAAACTATTGATTATCTCTGTTTACAATATCTGCGTTGTTTTACATAGATCAAAAATGGCACTTTCGATTTAAGTCCATTTTATACGTTAGAATACGTAACGTTGCTAAATGCCGTAGTACGAACTACCATAGTTCTTATCATGAAGTGTGGAAGAGAAGACTGTCGGACACAGTCTTCTATAGCGTGTTCAGTTATGCTACTTGGGTGGTGAGCTACTGCCTTGGAAATCTGCGGTGGACGGAGGCTTGGAAGTTTTACTTCACCACAATTTTAGGCGTAGCGGTAGTAGCAGATTTACTACAGAGACTCAACGTCCATCGTGATTCCCGTGACCATGCACTACACCTACATGCTTGCGTACTAAATGTAGCGACAAACAAGAGTGATCGACATTCGAATTCGTAGTAGGCACACTTCATTTTGCACTGGAAACCAACCGCCTAAAGCAATTTTTGACGCCCTTAGAATCGGACGTCGGTAGAACGTTCATTAGAGCTGGCCGGTGAAAATTTACACCAGCACTTTCATATTGTTTTTGATTCACATGTTATCTAGCTTTATCAGTAACACAGGGCTCTGCTTAAATAGTATTTTTTGTACCAATGCAATACGTCTGCCTGGACTTCACTTCGGGTCTCCGTTCTGGGACCTGATACGCTTGCCATTCATCTCTATAGACGCCGTCGAAGATTGTCATTTAATTCCTAGAAAAATTTACGCTGAAGCTTATTTCAGCGATGCCACCTAATCTAACAAAACTACTTGCTTAACATACCATGATGTATTTTCCACCGATTACTTCGAGTGCTTCGAAAACATTATATTGCTAATACTCACTGTTCTGTGCTGCGTTGGAGAAACTATAGAGAAAAAAGAAAAGTTGGAAAGCAAACATAGACTAAACATCTAATAACTAATTACTAGAAGTTCAGTTTATCTTTTCTTATAATCCGAAACAACAGGTTTTGTACCCACTTGACTTTTTAAATGTGTGAACAGGCCTTTAGAATCACCGATTTGGTATAATATCAGAACTTGTTCCACCAGAAAAAAGAGGATGTGTCCAGGATGTTTCCAATAGGCCTATAAAACAACATGGCAACTATTGATCAGCTCTGAAATATAAACCAGCAATGGCCGCATGTCCGTGGTTACCGTGGCAGAACACTTGAAGAGGCACTCATTAGCCGTCCATATATAACGCCATCTTCTCACCTGGTGTGTCAGTGTTTCCACTGGATGTGGTTGATTTTTTCCTTTTGAAAAGACTGTTGATTTTCCAATATTGTCAGAATTAAAGTTGAATCCGTCAAGGCTAAACGCTTTACCTAAACGATTCGCATTCACGTAGTGTCTATTTTTGTAAGTCTTCCATAAATAAGCTCGGCTGCAAACTGCTGTTCTCTATTATAAACTAATAGTATTTTTGAAGAGATTTTGTTTATTTTTTAAGTGGCAAACTTAAGATGTCATTGTACACGCTATGACACGCTGTCTTTGTACTGTATACCCACTCGATAACACGTAACAATGAGAAATGCGGTGTATTCTCACATCTCCTTTAGACTGGATCTGCAACAATGATGAAGCTGTTCGAACTATTGCCGAAAATCTACCCCCGCCATCGCTAGGTCAATTGAAAGCAATTGATGTTAATGGACTCGTGTGCACCTATCTCACGCATTCCGCAATTGTCAACCAAGTGCTCCGGTAATTTCATCATGATTTTTATCTTCGCAATTTAATGAAACTAAAGGCAGTTTTGAAAGTTTAAAGTTGTAACTAAGTCTGAAGTTAAAGCAGGGTAAACACTTAATATACTACAAAGAAACTAGTTGAATACCTACTTTGCATGTATCTAATATAGTGCACAGGTATCAATATTTGGAGCTCTGGCGTTTGCGATACTGGCGAAACAAATAATAACTTTAAGTATATAAGCTTATTCGATCACCAAATACAAACACGTATGAAACCAGAGCCAAGAACAACAAGAATATGCGTATAAATGTAAGATCATTTGTAAAAAAATATCAAAAAACCTATAACGGACTAAATGGATTCCGTATCGACAATCGAATTAACTGTTAGGATTAGCTATAATTTTATTATTAGCTCATCACTCTCACATAAAATTAAACTAGAAAAAAACTTGCATGCACTATCACCCTGTATATATATATATATGGCTATGAGCGAAAAGCTAAAGTTCTATTGAAATCTGGCACAGTTATTTCTATGCATCGATCGCTGCGGACGCTTCGTTAACTCGACCCGGCTATACGATCTGGAACCTTTTTGCTCAGTTCGTAGCTAACCGCGTCAAAGTTCTTCAGGCATTTAATGCAGCCGCCAATTCTTCACCCCAGGAAGCCACACGATGGACCGTGCGCAATGAAGAAGCACTTGTCGATTTGAAACAAGCTTTTCTGAGAAGTCGACGTCAGCTGCAAGGACTTCAAGGCTTTCACTGGTAAAAAAATCAACAACGTTTGACACCACAGAGGCCATGTAAAGCGTAAGCCTGTGAAACCAATGTAATTCTACTATAGAATAGTACTGCTTAACTCGTAGGCTAAGTAATTCTCCAGACTGAAATATCGTCAACATTCGTATACAAGAAATGCAATTAAGATCAAAAAATAAACGGGATTCAAAAGCGTATTTGCTCTGTATATCAGCCGTGTTCCTTATTATTAATAACAATCTTATTTCTGCTTTCGCAGTTCTTTTAGTCTCCACCCAAAATATACTGATGTTCTAATTTTTGCAATATCGCTTTTATTTCATCTTTTTATTGGATTCACATTGGAAACTATAATCAACTAGGGTCATTTAGAGAACAAATGGTCATAGATTACGAATACGGAGAGTCTCTTAAAGTGCGTCCGAGGCGTCTGCTGCTGTTACGCCATAACGTTGATGCTCAGTTCTTTATCTATTTAACCTCACTTATCAAAGTGTTACTTATCACACCTGACGAAAATTATATCAAAATACTCAAAGAATAATAACCAATTGTGGTAATAATATAAATACCTCTTACATCTTTTACAGGAGCTAGCTATTTTTTATGACAGCACTTCTTTTGAACTTCGTTATATCTGGACAATCTATTGAATGTAATGTACGTTTAAATTAAATGGAAGCACCTGATAAACTACAAAATTGAAAAACGCTTTTTTTATAAGGCTAAATAGGTAATTGTTCTTGTCAACAAAGTCTGAGATGTCCCGAATTATGATAGAAATTATGAGAAACTAACAGATATTGGTAACAAGGATTCCAGTTGTCAGCAAAAGAAATTCACTCAGAGATTCTAAAGGTACAAGTACATGTTTTGGTTTAAATATTCTTCTGTCCGTATCTAAGAATTACATACAAAAATCATGGCAAGCAATTTCACCTGCAGTAGGCGACCGTGGCCTGGCGGGCGGCCTGTTCCCTCATGAAAAGTATGTTTTTAAAAAAAATAGAATGTACTTGGTCTAGAATATACTCGAAATTTGGGTCATTTTAATTAGACATAATTCCAACTACTACTGCGTGTGGCCTTCTTTGCCAATGCAAGGCAGCTCTTCTGATTAAATTAGTTATAGTGCAACGCTTATGAAAGGTATTTTTTTTCTAGCCTGTATCTTCTAGGGGTAATCATTTAACAACTTAATTATGATAAGAGCAGATTATGCTGTGTTTGCATCACCGTAATTCTTCTCTGTATTCGTTATTCTTCTAGCACGTGCATACTATCCTTGCTTCTGACTGTCGCTGGGGGCGGTTTATCGTTATAACCAACGCGGTATTTCCTGTCAGTCAGTCCCCAAATATACGCATGCTATTCTGTATCAGATCTTAAATACAACCGGGAAAAAATTAGAGAACAGTAAATAAAGACGATCGTGTTTCTCACATCAATAGACGTGAAGGACTCACTCGTTTGAAAGGGCGACTTTGGAAAGGGTTGCTTTAAAGGGCGAGGAGTTTGTTGTTTGGACATGACAGTAGCATTCAGCGGCACGTGACAGCGCCCCAGCTGATCATCGGCCTTCTGAAAATCACAACAAGACTCTACGTATTTTGGTAGATGTTTGCTTACTTGCACCTATATTCCGTCGTTGAGTCACAGGTAAGATTCCCGTTGGAATTAGTTCTGACTAGAGATTTACTGAGTACAAAAATTGAACTTCGTATTTTTTTAGCTTCATTAGCGGTTATAAACACCGAACTACACCTGAATGTAACACTCCACGACGAAACAAAAAAAGCTTCACTTACAAGTTATAAACTGTAATCTACCTAGTGGAAGCACCTAGGGGGAAATCATACTTAATCATATAGTCTTAAAGCCCTCCTTCTTCAATAATACTGTGAGTAGAAACATGATTACGATAATACACTGAAAACAGGCTTTCCGTGTCGTCAACAATTCGGAAAAGCCGGAATGCTTTAAGCATAAGCTTATTTGAACACTGTTGACGCATCTAATACCTGAAGCACAGTATATCTACCGATGTACAGGTTATACGAGAGATTTTACTGAATATTATTGCTGTAGATATTTTTCCAGTACCGCTGACTTTCGGACATGATTAGTTAATTGATTTTGATAACAAATTGATTCTGTGGATAGGTTCAGAGAAATCAGCCGATTCCCGTTGGCGCCGCAGGCCTCGTTTAGCGCGGCAATGAAAACGCCAGCTGCTTGTCATAGTATTTACCATGCGTGCAAGCGGCGTGGAAGATCTAACAGCTTGTCTATGAATAGCTGGTTATTCTAACTTGCTCCAAATATGGCTGACAACAGCAAAAAACGTCAACAACAACATCTAGCCAATAGTGGGTATGCTGAATCTGGATCTTCTAGTAAACGACCTTGTCATGAAAAACCATCAGCAGATGCCCTCCAGGCGCTTCGCAGGTCAGGACATACGCAAATAGTACTACTAATGTACGAGAAGTAATCAATGTTTGCAGACAGGTGTTATTGATGATTTTTCATGGTTTGCTAAGGGGTTCATTTCACTGCCCATTAGTCGCTCTAGGCTACAGCAGTCTGCACAGTATGTCTATCTTTCTGTAAACTTTTATACAGTTATCTTTGATGCTGGGTTAAGGTGAATCGTTTTCATGAATAACAAAAGCTTATCCATTCATAATTCAAATAAGATCATTTGTCCATGTTCGGCGTTTTTTTTTTTGCTATCTTCCTTTTGCTGTTATTCCATGGGACCTTTCAGAGCAAAAAAACGAACGATCTCGATAGCCGTCTGCGCTTCGGTGTTGGAGGGCCTTAAAGGTGAAGGGGCAAAGCACCGGGTGATTGCGCAGTTTGCACGAGCGGCATCCATTTTTCGCATGTCGGAAATAGTCGTCATTGATGATGCTTAGTAAGTTGCAGGAAGTTCTGTGAAGCCGTACGAGTAAATAGCAAGGACAATTTTTACCATACCAATAGTAGGCTTGTAAAGAGACTCTTCGGTATTATCAGTTTTAAACTAGATGTCCTTCCTTATGAATATGCTTTTCGTTACAAATTTGTTACTATCAAGTAATTTAATGCGATAGCCAAGTCTACTCTCTTTATGTATTTAAAGATAAAGTGAAAACTTAACATACTAAAAAAATCTTTCACAAACTAACAATTAATATTCGTCTTAGTCACTTTTTGATGGTAAAAAAAAACTTGTTTTTAAATGTTATATTTAAAAAAGGGTGAGTTCATAAAAATAATTAGCATCTAAGTATACTATTCCGATGATCGTACTTGATTTCGTCGGTGTTTTTCTCACAGTAAGAACCCGGGATTCTCAGTGTCCAAAGATGCAAACCTATTCAAATTAATCCTTGAGTACCTTGACTCTCCTCAATATCTCCGCAAAGCTCTTTTTCCTATGTGCCTTGAACTCAAATCGGTCGGAGTATGCCCCCCGTTGGATGCAACGCACCACGTTAGGTACGTTTTTTTTTTATATATAATGTTTGAGTACTCGTTTGCATGCTCTTAGCTAGAAAGGGATATAGCAAAAATTCGCTAAACGCACGTTTTTTTTTACTATGTGCAGGTACGCCGAAGAGACTATTTTCATACAAACATATTTGGTATTGAAATTTCAAAACAAATTAGAAGGGGTAACACCATGATCGCGTCTTGAGTTTTTTTTAAAGCTAAACGCATATATAGGGTGGTCTGTCAGCGGATACTACGACGTATCGTGATAAAAATGAATTTGCATTGTATTGCTAACCAGCGCCTATCTATATCACATATAATCGTTTTCTCTTAACAGGATGGACGATAAAGTGCCATACAGGGAAGGTGTTGTGACGCGGCTAACTCCATCTACTGCTTGGGTTAATATCGGTCTCGAGCAAAGCCTTCGCATCGATCGAACTATCAAAACCAATGCTCAGGCGTCGGACGGTACGAACTCTAAATTAAATACAAAGGAAGATTCAAGTAAGAATGTTACTAAATAGCAAGGTTCGCCTAAATTGCTTTCATGCCAGTCCTACATTGGCTTAGAATTTTTCGTAAGCGCATCAAGTTTATACACTGGACGCTGTGGTTTCTATTGAACACTTGATTTGGGGCAACGAGTTAGCCGCGAGTATATGTAGCTAAGGTGATTTACCGCTTAGACTTCATAGAACGAGCTTAACCGCCATTTCTAGTTCATATTTCTTTAAATTGAAACTGCGACACAATTGTATATATAATGCGTGAAAAACGGTATAAGCGACAACCGCGGCAAATTAACAAAAGCCAAGGAAAATGATTATAGCTTTATAATTAATTATCATCACAGTCGATTCTGTGAAAAATTAAATTCTATCGTGGACGATCGGAATAGAGAGAGAAAAAAGTAAGTGGACCTGTCGACGTAAATTTACCGGCTTCACCATTTTGATCAATGGTATTTAGCAAACGAGTCATTCTCTTCAGGAATGCATCACAAAAAATAATACTATTTTTTAGGTTCCTTTTGTTTAATTTAGTATAATTTAAAATAGTTGCCCTTTATATTATATTATGTGTTTTTGTTGTTACTCGATTTTATGTTGTCTAGAGAGCGTTACGGGGGATCTTTGCAGATGTAAACGCAACTTCATGTTAAGATACGAGACTCTGTTAGGAAGGCATTTGTGGACATGTTTGTAATAGTCTTTTTGATATAAACGTGTTTTTCAAGTTTGAAAGCTCTCTCAGGTGCATCTAATAATAGAATGAGTATATGCAACTATCTGATCGATCATAATGAAGGTAACAGTACGAATAAGTGGCTTTAGAAAAGATCCAGAAATCCGTCGACTACAATATTGTCTCTCAACGTTAGATCATATGTGGGTTAGCACCGAGAAATAGCTACGGAACATACTACATAAATAGGTAAATTCAAACCTTATAAAGCTGTAAATTTCACTGTATTTCAATTACTTAATCTTCACCAGGTTTACGACCGCTATAAGGAGCATCAAATTTGAATTAGATGTTATCTGAAAGCTATGACCTATTAATGTTGAAATAATTCTGCAGAAATTAATCCATGTGACTTAGCAACTGGATATCGCGTGACTGTTCGAATGGAGGACAAAACCCTTGTCGATCGAGATGCTCCAAGGCGAGAGGCGGGCCTTTACTGGGGCTACCAAACTCGACTGGCAATGAATTTGTCTAGTGCTATTGCAGAATCACCCTATCAACGAGGGTAAGTTAGCCACCCACGAGCTTTCGGCTTACGATTTTTATATACAGGTTCAAACTTAATAAAGAATATAGATTTAACTGTTTTCATGTATTTTTTATGCACTTGTGAACTCACACACGTGAAATGCTGTAATTCACTCTCTTTTTTTTTTGCAGTCAGATTAACATTATCCAGTTAAATTAATATTATGATTTGATGAATGTTTCTGATCGTAGTTTAAAATAAATTAACAGAATAGCACGCAGTGCTCTTTATAAACTCGTTTCATATGGAGCATCTTATTGCTTCGAAGATCGATACCGTTACGACTGCGGTACTAAACCTAAACCTTCTATATGCTTATCTGTGAAATCTGATAAAAAAAATTTAGCCTATAGCATAACACCTGTCCGTCTGCCAGCAACCAGTCGCCTGGCAAAAACACGAAAGAAAAGCAAAGCTCTTGTAACAGATAATTACGTCAGCTAATGTAATAACGTCCATTGTTTGCCGCGGATAGGGCCGCATGTAATTCGAGGATAATTATTCCAACACTACATTCATTTACCAGCTGTGTAATTTTTTCATAAAGAGCCCTAAACGGCCGTCATAACTGTAGGACGTGGGAAATGTGTCCTAATACTTAAATACTTAGCTGTATTCCTTCCAACACCTATTTAATTTGACGCAAAATCGATTTCATAACATGTTTCATTTTAGCCTACTCTAATTAATTGGGAATTAACCACAAAGGTTATTAAAAGGTTCATTTTTTTGCAAGCTTGCCTGTAGCTTTGACAGTTATATCAAGCTCTTTGATTTATCACCACCGTTTATGAGGAAACACACGTGTTTTTGTAAGCGCGTTTAAATTACAGAGCCTTTAACCACCCAAAAATTATGCCGAACAAATTTCAGGTATGACTTGACTATCGGGACGTCGGAACGAGGCGATAGCATTGAAGCGGTTATCGAATTAGGAAAGTTTAGGCACGCCCTCGTCGTGTTTGGGGGACCAAAGGGACTGGAATACGCCCTTGAGCAGGACGTTCAGCTCCGTGAACTGAGTGACCCAAAACATATCTTTGATAGGTATGGAGAAATGGAAAAGCAAAACATGTATTTTAAGTTTCTAGTTCTATCATTGATATTTCCTGGATTAGAAAATGTCATGATGTTATAAGCGAATCTGGGTGACTTTTGAATTAAGCGCCGTTGGCAAAGAAGTATTCGTTGGTAAATACTTCAGTGTTCTAGACTCGGGAAACTCGGCTAAGTTTGCTTTCATAGAAATGAGTTCAGAAGGAAAAATATTTTCCTCTCCCCCGAAAAGACCGGCGAGGAGATGACAGGACTCTCATCTATAATTGTTTATA